AAGCGGGTGTGCACCCCCATAAGCGCGTTTATGGGGGAGAGAGTAATGACCCCGTGACAAGATAGTTATTTATTTTTGCTAAAGGTTCCAAAGAAATGATTTAGTATTTGTAACATGTTTGGACTAAATAATTTCTCTATGTTGTTTAACAAAGCTTAATAAAAGGGATGATTAAAGATGTATTCCTTATGTCTGGAGTGTGGAGATCACTTAAAAGCTTTTTTTGTTAGATATTACTAGCTGCATAGTGTGTCAACAAATAGTTGAAAAGAAATTGTGTTTTAAGGTTTTTCATGTTCTTGTTTCAGAAGAAAATTAAGCACTCTTTGTTTGAACTCTGGTGAGGGTAAAGAAAAGGGATTGTGAAGGGAGGTAGAGGAGGGGTAGAGAATGCTTAGAAACAGGCATGAGAGTTTAATGCAAGCATATTTTCAGATGATAAATGTTTGGTGATCTGGTAATTGGCTATGCATAATCAGAAGCCTGGAATTGCCGATACACATAATCATTGGGTGATTTTTAAATCTTTCATCACAATAAGATTTCAGATATTATTAATGGCTTCATTGCGTTAGGTATCAGTGAATCACCCCAAAAAGTGACATTTTTCTGGTTTAGATGAGATCAGAATGGCATAAATTATGTGGTCGTCTTGAAATAGATGAAGCTGCTAACTTTAGATAAATTTCTCTGATATAATTAAGAGCTTTGGGAACAAATGGATGTAAACAATCTGAGGAGCTAGATGTTGAGGACTTGTCTGATATCTGGTTTGAGTTTGAGTTTACAATTAGTTAAGCAAAGCTTTTTGGTAATGTGTCATTAATTTCTGTTTTCAGGTTGTACTTCTCTTATCATTATTAATGCAATTAAATTAAGAATTTCTCCATTTTTCGCTTGAAAACATTGGGGTGAAAACCAAATTGAAACCTGCAAGTATCAAAATTAGCAAGCTGTTGTTTAGACATTCTGCAACTACTTTTTGTGCTGTCTGGATGTGTAAATCGGATTTTTGATTTGCAAGAACTCCAGGCAGTGTTGCCTACTGCTTTAGCAAGAGTTGCATAGTATGCAGCCAGTGATAGATGACAAATTTTAGCATGCAGCCCATGTCTGTCTGTGTGTTATGCCCATCTCAGATGCCTGGAGATGCATGATTGTTTGCTAAGGAATATAGCCCTCCCTTTTATCTGCTTTCTTGACTCTGGCCTTGTTCCTGCCAATCCGGGGAAGCCAAAAGGATGAGTGATGATCTCTTTATAAAAGAGTGCAGTCAACATT